TGTTTAGAGAGAAAAAATGGTAAAAAGAAATTTCCAGAAGAATGAGGAATACATAAGAAAAATATGAGGAAATAAGGAAAAGGTAGCTTTGATTGAGGGAATGGAAGATGCTTTTAAAATGTAAGGGAAGGTACGTGTAGGAGGGCAAATAATTTCTAAAATATAAAGAAAAATATGCATTAGAGAGTGAGGAATTCAAGGAAATATTCTTTTAAAAACAGGAAATATGCAAAATACAAGGGAAAGCATACATAAAAGGATAAGGAATTTATAAATTGTAAGAGAAGTATGCTTGAGAAGACAAAGTAATTATAAAATATGAGAAAATGTATGCGTAAAAGGAGACAAAGAATTTACGAATGTAAGAGAAAGTGTGCATAAGAGACAGTCGAAAATTACAAAATGTAAAGGAAATGCGAACAGGAGAATAATTTACAAAACACAAGGAATCTCCATGTTTAACAATTAATGTAATTAATTGTTAAACATGGAGATGACGGCCTGTTGATACTCAAATATAAATCAATATTTAAAGTTTTATTAGTATAATTAATTGTATATATGACAATATTCTATTTTATTTTGTTAAGCAAGCGGGTAAGATAGCATCCGACCTTTCTCCTCATTCTGTTTGATCAAATGTCTAAGATGGCATCCAACTTTATCCCATTGTTTGATGGAATTCATGATATAAATTATATTGCCAAGAATTTTTGTAATTTTATACAGAAATAATAAGAAATTCACCATATTATAGCGTGTCATCTCACCCGATTTACAAGGTAAGTTGGCAATATAAAGAACTCTGTACATTTTACATATAAAATAGCTTAAACCCTGTTTAGATTTATTTATTTTCTTGATATTTTTGATACGTTATGAACAGATTTCTGCCATCTTCCCTCATTTATAATGTTTTTAACTCGACGATTTTCAAGAAAGTTGGCATCAAAACGTGGACAGTTCTTCAATCCTCATCCCTGTGGCGTAACTAAAATTTTACTCTGTGGGAAAATGATGTAGTATAATCGCAACGAAGAAAAATTAAGCGCACCCNATTAAGAAAGTAAAGAGAAAAATACTTGCTTTGTTTTAACATTGAAGATAATATAACTCCCGAGACTTAAATTTCTTTTACTCATATAGCTGCGGGCCTTTCTTTTCTTCCTCCTCTTAAATTTTTTTTTTGGGGGGGAATTTTTTTTTTTAAAGTTTAGATTCTATAAAGAATGGACCAATATATATTCTGCTTACAGGAGTAAAATGAAACTGGTTTTGAGCTCTGGCGACTGTTTTTAGATTGATTTTTAGTCCAGATAAATCTAAATAAATGCTGTCTACTTCGAAGTAACTTTAAGTTACTTGGAAGTTCAGTGAATTAACTTGTATATAAGAATTTCTCTGATAAATCGATGGGAATTTTTATACTAGTTAACTAATATTAAACAAATTCTATGCCTAATTAAACAGTACTGAGTTATTTTGCAATTGATAAACAGGTGAAGAAGTGAAGTAAACTTCGTTATCAAGTTAACTATTAAAGGACAGACAGTAGAAACTTATCTGTTATATATTTTTTAAATTAGCAGCCTAATAATGGGCTGAAATTAAAAAAAACTAGTAAGAAATATTCTTTATCTCTTTTAAATAACATTAAAAAATCCCTCTTCCATCGTATGGTAGGTCAGTGAACTATTACGTAAATGGAAAGACGTTAAGTTACTATAGAAGGACGGTAAATAGGTCCTATGACGTGTAGAGTCAGGAGGAGGATGATCTTATATTTATTATTGCTTTTATAAATAATTTGAAAGAATGGCATTTATAGAAATCTTCTTTAAAATGTCTTTGTATTGAGTTTTCATCAAAAAAGTCGCAGCCATCCCGTGTCATCTGGATTGGAAAGAGAAGCAATTGGCGTGCATCAGGAAAGAAGACATCTTTTCTTCTTCTCCCTTGCATTACTTTTATCTTATATGCTTTCTCTCTGATTAATATATTACTTCTCTCTAAAAATACTTTCAAATTATTCCCCCCCTTTTTTTTATTTATTTTTCCTTCTCCTTCTTTGATAGATTGCATTACGTAAAGAAGATTAAAAATAAATATATATTTTTTTGTCTTGAACAAAAGAATTTAAATAGTTTTTCTTTTTAAGAATATATATATATAAGTAATGATTTTTTAGAAATAAATGTATCTAAAAATATTCAGGGAAACTTGAGTTTTGCAAATTTTAAAATATTAAATCAGCAAATTTTAAACTGATGATGAAGATATTCCCTAAAGGAAGAGTGTATTCATTGATGCAGAAATAACGATATCCCGAGGGATTAGGATTATTCCAGTGTATTAATCCTTTTTGGACATATATTGGATCGTGAATTAATTTGTTACACGTTAAATAGTTCTGTTATAAGCTTAAAATAGCGTTAAACTCGTTGAGTTAATAATTACTTCTTTAAATATTTAAGTTTAAATAATAAAAATTATATTAATTCAATTATCTTATGTTAATTTTCTTCTTTTCGATAATTCAATTATATTTTTAGAAATTCTGTTTTATTTGTTTAAAAGTTTTGCATAAAACAAAACAAACACTAGCGAGTTTAGATTTAAATATTTGTTTCGGCCAATTGGAGTTTAGATAAACATAACTCTATCCAATCATCTTTGGAGGATTTTTAAACTTTATTTTACAGAAGATGACGTATATTCGCATGAAATTTTAAACTTTTTTTTACTCAAATTTACATAATTTAGCTTATTTTACAATTTAAAAAACTTAAAATATCGATAAATATGTTGACAGACGAAGCGAAAAGCCAATTTAGATAATTATAGTTACACACCAACTTGCGAAAATTGTCTTAAAAATAAATATTTTAGAAATTACCTTTCGTTAATATTATTCCTAATATTAAAGTCATTCCCTAAGGTAGATTTGATAATAATGAATATTGATTGTTTAAGCAGCTCCTGTAATACTCTACGCGTGGACCTCGCCCTACACCATACACGTACATTAATCTAACAGTTTTCTCATCAAGAAGAAAAATCTATAAGTATCAGCTTAATATTACAGTTAGAATAACACAATTCGTAACATAAAAAAACCACACATACAGTTTTTAAATTCGTTTTTTACATTTAATTGTATTCATCACGCTAGAGCCATCAGATAGATGCCATTATATCAAAGAAATTTCGATTAGAAAAAGACAGTTGGGAACGATTTCTTTGCATGTCTTTATTCAACACTACAAACACATCAGCATAGCTCACTTTGCATAAACTAACATCAATGGTGGTTTCCCCTTGGAACCACAAGCTGCGACCATCGAATTCGACCAAGAATTTTAGTCAAACGCCATATAACAAATGAAATCACATTTTACCAAGCCAGTGGGTCGAAGGAGAAGAGAGGATTTTCTCTTTTTTTAGGGGGATATTTTTTAAATTTCCCCAATAGCCATTCAGTAAAGACAGCAATGACGAATCACTTCCATAAATATTCCATTGGACAGAATCTTTTCAGTTCTTCGGGGCAAAGAAGAAAGAAGATGCCATCAATCTCTCCTGTTAGTCTATATATGTATTAAGAAAGTAAAGAGAAAAATACTTGCTTTGTTTTAACATTGAAGATAATATAACTCCCGAGACTTAAATTTCTTTTACTCATATAGCTGCGGGCCTTTCTTTTCTTCCTCCTCTTAAATTTTTTTTTTGGGGGGGAATTTTTTTTTTTAAAGTTTAGATTCTATAAAGAATGGACCAATATATATTCTGCTTACAGGAGTAAAATGAAACTGGTTTTGAGCTCTGGCGACTGTTTTTAGATTGATTTTTAGTCCAGATAAATCTAAATAAATGCTGTCTACTTCGAAGTAACTTTAAGTTACTTGGAAGTTCAGTGAATTAACTTGTATATAAGAATTTCTCTGATAAATCGATGGGAATTTCTATACTAGTTAACTAATATTAAACAAATTCTATGCCTAATTAAACAGTACTGAGTTATTTTGCAATTGATAAACAGGTGAAGAAGTGAAGTAAACTTCGTTATCAAGTTAACTATTAAAGGACAGACAGTAGAAACTTATCTGTTATATATTTTTTAAATTAGCAGCCTAATAATGGGCTGAAATTAAAAAAAACTAGTAAGAAATATTCTTTATCTCTTTTAAATAACATTAAAAAATCCCTCTTCCATCGTATGGTAGGTCAGTGAACTATTACGTAAATGGAAAGACGTTAAGTTACTATAGAAGGACGGTAAATAGGTCCTATGACGTGTAGAGTCAGGAGGAGGATGATCTTATATTTATTATTGCTTTTATAAATAATTTGAAAGAATGGCATTTATAGAAATCTTCTTTAAAATGTCTTTGTATCGAGTTTTCATCAAAAAAGTCGCAGCCATCCCGTGTCATCTGGATTGGAAAGAGAAGCAATTGGCGTGCATCAGGAAAGAAGACATCTTTTCTTCTTCTCCCTTGCATTACTTTTATCTTATATGCTTATTTAAATCAATAATATCTTAAACATTTTATTTAATTTTCATAACGTTTTTAAAGGAAATTTTATAGGTATTTTTACACGCGCTCTCACTAAAAGAGGGATAGAAAATGGCAAACAAATAAAGAAAATAAAGGGGAAAAAAACTATTTTATCTCGGAAAATAAATCGTAAGACAAGCATATAACTGTTTTTATAGATCTTATTTTATACTTCACAGCTGCAAATTTAAATTTTTGCAACTTACTTTAAATAGTTTCAAGCTCAAGTAAGCATTGTATTTTTGATGTTCTTGCATTACTTCCTGACCAATCGCAATTGATTTCCATGGATCACAGAGATCAGTAAACAGGAACAGGAGTTCACACGTCCGTAAAATATTCTTCTTTACCTTCTTTTCAAAGTATTTAAATCTGTTATTACTTTGTAGAATAAGCAATTTAAATATTACTGTATATTTGGCGAATACATATTGTCTTCTCATGGACAAAAAATGGCCTCCAGGTAAATCAACATACCTCCTGTACGGATATTTCTTGTTTAGAATTGATAAAACCGGTATAAAATTTGATTCTTATGTGTTTTTAGATGATTCTATATACATTTGATTGATATAAATTCAAAGAAATCGTGCTTCTGAGTATCGATAAATTGTTATCGCTATAGAGAAATTCTTTCAGAAATTGTTGAAAATTTGTTAAAATTATTTAATAAACTAGCCAATAATTTAGTTTTTAACGTTTTATGATCATTTTGTGTGATTTTTATTGATAAATTTCGTAAGCTTTGAATATTTTTTAACTGGTATTCACTGTCGCTCGTCGTCGCGGCGCGTTGCGTGCAGACTAAATTTTGTAGAATTAAACTAATTTGTATATTAATACAGGGTATAAACAATTGATAAATAGATGCGACACGTTTTTGACTACAAGAAAACACGTTAATTAGCAGTTTGAATGCTATAGATTTTTTAATTTTCGTGATACGCGACTCGCGGTTCCATTACGTCGTGCGACAGACATTCGAACTTTCAAATGTAATAACCTGTAATATAATTAATAAAGATTAAAATATTATACTTAATGTTTTCTAGATTTCTGAATAATAATTGGCGAATAAAGTGAATATTTATAAAATATAAATTTATTATTAAAAGTTTTAAAGGTTATTGTCATTGCGCGCGCGTCGCGCTCGTCCTCATAATTCACGAAAATTACCATGTCTATATAAGATTTTTCTATTTTATATATTATAAAAAATGCGCACATTTAAGTAATTAATTATTTAAAACAAATAAAAGACAGAAGAAACAAGAATTATATAATTTTAGCACGACGCGTTGGCGCGACGGTTCGTACGCGTCACTTCGCGATGACTGTTATTACATTATTCAAACCGTTAAAAGAAATTTAATTCGAACTCAACCATAAAACAATGAATATAATTCAATAAATTACACATAAAATTTCAAATTTAAATAAATTTTATCGCAAAAATCCAAGAAGGAATTTACATTTTTATACAATTTTTTTAGGGAAAATTTAATCTGCTCAATGGGTGTATTAAACCGTATTTTGTATGTAAAATAGGGAAAAAATTTTATCAATATTTTATTTAGTAAATTGTAACATCAATAAATAATCGAATAAATTTATTTTTAAAATTCCGAAGAGGGAATAAATAATAAAAGAAAATGGATTTTTCTAGTGAATATTTGCAATAAACGAACGAAGAATATCCATCCTGCTTCACTATTACTAGGTAAGTCTGTTTTCTATATAGAATATTGGAACTAGAATTATCGAATATACAAGACAGAACTTGCAGAATTGTAAGATATCTTTCCACATTTCAATTCGTAGGAGGTAATCTTTGCCAAAGGCAAAACACAATAAAACAACTACCCTCTTCAGATCAAAATCACTGTATACAATCCTCACACCTCCTGTATTATTCATCTATATGTATAAACAAAATACACACAAGATATCTTAAGTTTCTAACTTGAAGAATTTTTATATTATTTAAAGAAATGGTAATTACTGTTATTTGTATGCGGGTGCCACCGCCTCGATTAATTATCATCCCTCATCTCCATGTTTAACAATTAATGTAATTAATTGTTAAACATGGAGATGACGGCCTGTTGATACTCAAATATAAATCAATATTTAAAGTTTTATTAGTATAATTAATTGTATATATGACAATATTCTATTTTATTTTGTTAAGCAAGCGGGTAAGATAGCATCCGACCTTTCTCCTCATTCTGTTTGATCAAATGTCTAAGATGGCATCCAACTTTATCCCATTGTTTGATGGAATTCATGATATAAATTATATTGCCAAGAATTTTTGTAATTTTATACAGAAATAATAAGAAATTCACCATATTATAGCGTGTCATCTCACCCGATTTACAAGGTAAGTTGGCAATATAAAGAACTCTGTACATTTTACATATAGAATAGTTTAAATCCTGTTTACATTTATTTATTTTCTTGATATTTTTGATACGTTATGAACAGATTTCTGCCATCTTCCCTCATTTATAATGTTTTTAACTCGACGATTTTCAAGAAAGTTGGCATCAAAACGTGGACAGTTCTTCAATCCTCATCCCTGTGGCGTAACTAAAATTTTACTCTGTGGGAAAATGATGTAGTATAATCGCAACGAAGAAAAATTAAGCGCACCCTAAAGCTTCTGGGGATCCAACATTCACATTACCCCCCATAAATACGTCACTGCCTAACCCCATTCCTCACCTCTCATAAATATGCCCATGTCTCACCCTAACAAACTCAAATTAGCGATAGAAAACAAAGAAAATAATTAAAAATGGCGATAAATTTACACTAAAAAGGAGCCATTCCCTCAATTTTTACCCTTTACGGTTCGAAATAGATGTAAAACTAGTTATAGAAAATATAAATTTGTTGACTATTCAATAAAATTTAATAAAAAAAATACAATTGTGTTTGCTAAAATTTATTATTATTATTCTTTAAATATTATTTTTAGTACTTTTTACATTTCATAAGTGGTCAATTTGAAGATTATAGTGAAAGATATTTGTTCTATTTCCTTCTTATTTTTATTATTATTATTTTTTTTGTTTTATACAAACACAACTTAGCCAATTTTCTACTATTTTTTTTTTGTTTCTTTTTTTAGAAAATAAATCTTAAAATGACAACAACAATTTCGAAATTTTCATTTCTTCACGTCATATTCACAATTCGTTTTGACTTTTATAAAAATAATAAAGAATGAAGAGAGAAAAAATAATAAGAAGAAGAGTTTTAGGAGAAGAACTTACAAAAGAAAAGTGTTTTATTATTCTGTGAACCTTTTGAAAGAATTTTAAAATAATTCTCTCTATCCGTTAAAAATTAATTCGAGTTTTGTATGCAAATTATAGAAAATTAAAGCGTTTCACACAATACTTATGTGTTAGAATGCTGTGACGTGTTGCCTACGTAGTTTACATTGTATTTGTCGCGTCGCGTAGCATGGCATCGAGTTGTTAAGTTTAAAGCGATTTTTGAATATTAATTTGGCTTTAATTTAAAAATATTCTAGTTTTTAATTAAATTAGAGATTTGAAAATGGTGGACGAGTTAAGATTAGAATTAATATAAGAAAATGTCGAACGTTGCGTGGCACGCAAAGCGGCATACGCGCCATCGCGGCGAGTGGGCGCTAGATCTAAGGGCTTGAAACCCGTTTAGTCTTTAATAATATTTCACGTTGTGCCGGGCCCTCGGCAAAATTGAAAAGAATAAAATGAAGTTTAGACAACTTAAAAAATTTCCTGCTTTGAAATCTAACGCGCTACGTATTAAGGCAAATGACAAATAGAAACATCAAAGATATGTTTCGCATCGCGTCGGCGCGTACAAACATTAACATGTTAAAGATCGCGAGTGAAGGCTGATATCGATAACGTAAATTTACTGTTTATAGATCTTATACGTTATCTATGACGTTTTAAGACGTTTACGTTTTTTACAGAAACGAGGTAGACAAATTTCGCTTCGTATCGCAACTTCGTCGCGTCGCGTCGCGCGCGTTATATACAGTATAGATATAACGCAGTTAACCTATAAACGGGATCAATTTTAAGTTTTTCATATGCAAATTTATCGAGTTAAGGCAAAGAATTTCCAGTTATATATATATATATGATGTTTCCATTATGGCTGGGGGATACTTCGATTTAACTCGGGACGAATGACCACTTTAAAGAAAATGAATAGAAGGACTTTCATTTTTATTTGGCATTTTCAAGTAGAATTCTATCAAGTTTTATATTCTGTCTTTAAATTTTTTAGGAGGAAGAAACCTCCCCCCATCAACTCTCTTTCTATAGAAACTCGATCGCACTTCACAGCTATTGCATAACGTCAAATCAGCTTTTTTTTTTCAACCACTTCTACTTATTTTGCATACGAAATGCCCTTATTGCTGAGTGGACAGTCGACTTAAGTAGCTTAGTTGACGTTATGCTTCTTGATTTTCGACTTTGCAAATGTTTTGCTCATTTATTTAATTTAATTTCAGTTCAATTTGACATTTTTCTGTAACTTAAACCTATAGTTTACGTTACCAGAATAGTAAAAATTGTAAGGAGTGTGAAGAAGAAACTCGTGTTTAGAGAGAAAAAATGGTAAAAAGAAATTTCCAGAAGAATGAGGAATACATAAGAAAAATATGAGGAAATAAGGAAAAGGTAGCTTTGATTGAGGGAATGGAAGATGCTTTTAAAATGTAAGGGAAGGTACGTGTAGGAGGGCAAATAATTTCTAAAATATAAAGAAAAATATGCATTAGAGAGTGAGGAATTCAAGGAAATATTCTTTTAAAAACAGGAAATATGCAAAATACAAGGGAAAGCATACATAAAAAGATAAGGAATTTATAAATTGTAAGAGAAGTATGCTTGAGAAGACAAAGTAATTATAAAATATGAGAAAATGTATGCGTAAAAGGAGACAAAGAATTTACGAATGTAAGAGAAAGTGTGCATAAGAGACAGTCGAAAATTACAAAATGTAAAGGAAATGCGAACAGGAGAATAATTTACAAAACACAAGGAAAAGTTTGAACAAGAATAAAAGAAAAAAAACTTAAATTTTTTTCCTTAAAAAATAGAAGTAATAAAAATTAACTTACAGTAAATAAAATTTTACTAAATTAAATTAAATAAAAATTCATTACATATTATTATAATTTTCAAAAAAAAAAAAAATTAAATTACTTTCTCAGAAAGAAAAATAAAATAATAAAAATTACAATATTTATCTAAACAACAAGAAAAAAAAAATACTTTAAGAAAAGACGTTTATAGGAAATTAGCTTTAAATTAATTTTAAAATAGTGTTTAAATATGCATCATTCATGACATTAAATAAAAATTTGTAAATAAAAAAATAAAATTAATTCAAAAAAATATATATAATTCATTCATTAGTTTGATAAAGAATAAATAAAATCAAATT